GCATTGATGAAGATCTTGTTTCGTTTTCACAAGCCATTAACAGTGACTTGTCTCATAAATGGATTGATGCTATGAAAGAAGAATTAAACTCTATGGCTAAAAACAATGTTTAGGATCTAGTAGAATTGCCAGAAAGTTCAAAACGAGTTGTGTGTAAGTGGGTCTTTAAGACCAAACGCGACTCGAGTGGCAATATCAAACGACATAAAGCTAGACTTGTTGCCAAGGGTTATACTCAGAAAGATGGCATTGATTATAAGGAGACTTTTTCACCTGTTTCTAAGAAAGATTCCTTGAGGATCATTATGGCTTTAGTAGCTCAGTATGATTTAGAGTTACATCAAATGGATGTGAAAACGGCCTTTCTTAATGGGGACTTAGATGAGGAAGTTTATATGGATCAACCCGAAGGTTTTTCCATAGAAGGAAAGGGTCACATGGTGTGTAAACTTAAGAAGTCAATATATGGACTTAAACAAGCTTCCAGACAATGGTATATTAAGTTTAATGATACCATCACGTCTTTTGGTTTTCAAGAGAACACTGTTGATCGGTGTATTTACCAGAAGATCAGTGGGAGTAAGTTTATATTTTTGGTTCTGTATGTTGATGATATCCTACTTGCTGCTAATGATTTGGGAATTTTGCATGAGACTAAAGATTTTCTCTCAAAGAATTTTGAAATGAAAGATATGGGAGAGGCATCCTATGTGATTGGAATTTCAATATTCCGGGATAGATCACAAGGATTGTTGGGGTTGTCTCAGAAAGCATATATCGAAAAAATTCTTGAGAGATTTAGTATGAACACTTGTTCACCAAGTGTTGTCCCATTACAGAAAGGGGACAAGTTTAGTCTTATGCAATGTCCTAAGAATGATGTAGAACGAAAGAGTATGGAATCAATTCCATATGCTTCTGTTGTGGGCAGTTTGATGTACTTGCAAACTTGCACGAGGCCTGATATTAGCTTCGCTGTTGGGATGCTTGGCCGATATCAAAGTAATCCTGGATTGGATCACTGGAAAGCTACAAAGAAAGTGATGAGATACCTTCAAGGGACGAAGGATCATATGCTCACATTTAGGAAATCTGATCGCCTTGAGGTGATTGGATATTCAGATTCAGATTTTGTTGGATGCCTTGACAGTCGCAAGTCAACGTTTGGCTATGTTTTTCTCCTTGCCGAAGGAGCAATTTCATGGAAAAGTGCCAAGCAGTCTGTCATAGCTGCATCTACTATGGAGGCTGAATTTGTGGCTTGTTTTGAGGCTACAATTCATGCATTATGGCTGCGGAACTTTATCTCAGGACTTGGGGTTGTCGACACCATTACCAAGCCGCTGAAATTGTATTGTGATAATTCCGCAGCAGTTTTCTTCTCCAAAAACGACAAATATTCCAAGGGTGCAAAACACATGGAATTAAAGTATTTTGCCGTTAAGGAGGAAGTTCAGAAACAAAGAGTGTGCATCGAACATATAAGAACGGACCTTATGATTGCTGATCCGTTAACTAAAGGTCTACAACCAAAGACATTTAAAGAACATGTACATAGAATGGGTCTTGGTTGTATTGATGATTGATCATGATGATGTTATGGCACACTCTTGAGCTCATTGATGTTATGTTTCTTACTATTATCGAATTTCTTGTTCATTATGATTTTGTATACATTATGTTTAGAACAAGAAATGAATGTCTTCATGACAATTAAGTGGACCTTATGATATTTATATATAATTATGGAACTTGATGTGTTGAACTATTAGTGTAGTAGTATATGGAAGGAAGTATGCGAATCGAGAGTGTACAACCGCCATAACTCTCACTATATGGTTTATCATGTCATAGTTTATTATGATGTATGGCATAACGAGATTTGTTTATGTGCACCTAATGTTATACTATTAAATTATGGGCTTTCGGACCAAGTGGGAGAATGTAAGAATATGTGGCCCGAAAGCATTGGGCTCACAATTAATTATCCTATTGGGCTGGCCTTTATTTAATAGTCAAACAAATCTAAGCCATTAATCTGGATATTTGATGGACGTACCAGATCTAAAGACACCCCTATATAAATTAGTCCTCTCTCCTCCTATTAGGGTACGCAGTTTTATGCCATCACTTTTCTGCTACGTTAAGGAACGGTCATGAGGGAGAAACTGATTTTAGATCTCACAATCGATCAAGCCTCGTGTGATCATCAAGATCAAGATCACTAATTATGTCGTCTTCCGCATCAAGTAAGTATTTCGTATACACCAAATTATTTATTCAAGATCCTTAATGAAGTTTACAATTCCACTTTGCCTCGCCGCACGCAGATGTGTAGGTAGTCCCGCAGCGACCGCGATCCGCCATGTCCCGGACGACTCATGCTCGGCTCAGTCAATCCCAGATCTCGACGCCGTCAGTTTCTCGCCAGCGTAGTTGACGGCTCTGGTGGTCGACGGCAATGATGTGGCCGCCGACTCCACCAATGGGGTAAGTGTCGGCAACTGCGAGAAAGTGCTGGGAAGGCGAAGAGATTCTTTTTTTTGCGGCAGATGAGAGAGAGAGAGAGAGAGGGAGAGGAGGGAGAGAGAAAGTGCGAGAGAGAAACTGATGTCTGTCGTGTGAAAGGTGGGATAAGAATGTTCTCTGGGGATTGTGCAATTTTTGATGGGGCCCACTGAAGGGGAATGCAGTACTGACTTATTTGCCCTCAATGAGTGTAACAGATTGATATTTTTTAGCGGTTGGATTATTTTGATCGGACAGTTGTGATTTATTCTCATTTCTTTTATTGAGAACCTTTCTCACCGTAGCGCGACCCTATATATATATATATTAAAATAAAATATTATAATTTTAATAGGGTATGTTTGGTAAGCCAAATAAGCTAGCTTATAGCTTATTTGGTTAGCTTATAAGCTCTCTGTTTAAATAAGTCTCGTTTGGTAGGACGAGCTTTTTTAAAAAGTTCGAGCTTATTTCATAAGCTACTTTAAGTAGCTTTTCAAATAAGCTAGTTGAATTTTTTATTTCAGCTAGCTTATCAGCTAATTTACCAAACATCTTTTATCATATAAGCTAGCTTTTCAGCTATAAGTCATAAGCTATAAGCTATAAGCTCAAAAATTACATATAAGCTATAAGCTAGCTTATCAGCTATCAGCTAGCTTATCAGCTAGTTTTACCAAACATACCCATAGATATTTTTCACGCTCTCTTTACATAATAATTTTTTTTTTTTTTTTATGTTTTTTTTATATAAAAATCACTTGAGCTAATCTTTAATATATTAATATATTTGACCAAAACATTCAGTATTCACTTATATCATTTTTATCACTTAATTTTATTGGAATAATTTTAAATAGAATTAAATTATATTAGTATTTTTATAAAATTTATTGTATTTTATTACATATTATTAAATATGTGTCACTGTTTTTATTTTTATATAATATATAGTATTGCATTAATTTCCCTAAAACACATTTGCATCTTCCAAACCTTTCTTCAAGTTGAGAATCCTAAAGAAAATTGCATCGTCCCATTGTGAAAATCGGCAGATTCACCTCCGATGGTGTTCGCGTGGGAGATCGTCAGCGCCTGTCAGTCCAACCTAAGTGACAAATTAATGTTTCCTATCAAATGTTGATGCTCTCATTGTTAGAAATCTCTAAGATGGAAGAGTTGGTTGTCCAGTTACTTCATTGCTTGTGATTCCTTACTTAAATGTTCTCATGCATTTGCTGATTGCCTATAATCAATGTTAATAATCTCTTCACAGGAGCATACATTCCCAAGGCGACTGGTTGATGGAAAACGAGACAAGCCGCCTCTGGTTACTTATCCTGATCTAGCTTTAAACTGTGAGGTTTATATTAGTCCACCTGGACATGAGGTTTGTAAATTCGACCCCCTGTACACAATTTGCATAGTAGATTCAACGTTGGTAGTTAGTTTCCACTTCGACTCCTTTTCAAGCATGCACAAGAGTTGGTGTCTCCATTGTAGCTCCTTTTTTTCGCTTCGCCTCATTATCGTCTTGTGAAAAAAAGATTCTGATTTATGCAGTTGTCAATTTAATTCATATTTCAGCTTCTGGATGAACCAGCAGAGCAGACCCGATTTAACTGATGGGTTGAAGAAGCTGAGATGATGGACTCTGATTTTTGTTGGAGAAGGCACTTCATATGGCTGCAAATATAGAGCAAATTTAGTGCACTGGTTGATGTATGGCTGCAAATATAGAGCAAATTTAGTGTACTGGTTGATGTATGTGTGCCACAGGCATTTAAACATTGTGTGATAAAAACAATTTAGTGGTTGTTTTCATTATGATTTGTTAGCTTTAGTGTGAAGGTGCTTGTACTTAGTTTCGTTTGGAGAATGAGATATCAGTTTATAAATTTGTTCTTCTTTTCGATTACTTTCTAAAGTTTCTACATTGGTTTATGATATATAAAAGATTTTTGTTTAAATTTTGATTACATTTTACGTCGGTTGTAATAATGACGCAAGTGAGAGCACGTTATTCATTGTCAACTTACAACACATTCATTTTGCGTCGCCAAAATTAATATTAATGACTCACTTAAAAAAGCGTCGTCTATTAAAAATTAGTGACACATGCATCACGAGTCATAAAAATTATGCAAAAGTGACACACCTGTAAAAAGCGTCAGCATATTAAAAATTACCTACGCTTATTTCTTGTGTCACAAATAATTTCGTGACATCAAATTTAGCAACGCAACTTGTGACACTTTTGAAAGTGTAGGTAAATTTATTTGTGACACTAATGATCGTCGCTAAACTAAAAAATAAACGTCACTACATGCAATGTTTCTTGTAGTGACAGTACGTAATTGTGATTAAAAAATACTGTTCTCTTACAACTAATATATTTTCATAAGCAAGTGTGAAGGGGGTAAATTTCTTAATTTCTAAAGGTATCCATTTTATAGGCTCAAATACAAAATCAACCTACAAGCCCAATTGGCTGAGCCCAATAGGCCGAACTTTCCATGGTTATAAAATGTCGGCCTATATCTATCTAAAGTTTTGAGTTGGGCAGGCCTGGCCCATTGTTCCAATTAAACGTGTTCACCGGTTTCGGTTCAGAACCCCGGAACCAGACCAGCTAATTGTTTCAGTTCCAGAATCAGTAGTTCAAAGTTCTAAATTTTCGGCCAACTAGAACTGGAAGTACCAGCTATTGAAAACAAATATAGAGAAAAGAGAACTGGATCAAGTGATTTCCAATTCCGGTTACGAACCAAAGTTATGGTCAATGATTTTGGTTGGACGGTCAATGGTTCGAACCAGCATTAGCTGGTTCAGGCCGACCAGTGGACATGGCTAGTTACAAAAATATCTCAGGGTTATAGTGTATCATAATTCACTTAACCCCCAATATTTATTCCTTTGATTAAAGGTGCTTCTTAAAAATAAAAAGGGTTTAAAAGTAAAATAGTAAAAGATGGGAGCCCTATTTTGAAGGAAAATACAAACTTCAGGGTCTCATTAAAAAATCAGTGGGTCTTTTGTAATTATAGACTAAGCCAGAGGTAAAGAGGTCCTGGCTGGAGCTAATTTTCTGCACAAATTTTTTATTTATATTTTTCAAAGAAAAGGACTTTATTATTTTTCCCACTTTTTGTGTTGACAAGAAGTCTGATGTAGTCGAGCTAATCTGCGTTTCTTCACGTCAAATTACACGAGCTTCGTTTTTCAATTTGTCAATAAGTTGATCAACAGAAGAGAGTATGACCCCTGCCTTCCTTTTGGGAGGTTCAGTAACTTGAACGACTTCTAAATCAGATCTTATTTCAACATTCAAATCCTGTGGGCTCACTTTCTTTATCACCTTTGATTTTGCTTTCATGATATTTGGAAGGGTTGCGTACCTGGGCTGGTTCAGTCTCAGGTCCGTGCTGTGAAAACGTTCAAGAAATCAGGTACGCAAGAGAATAAATTATTAAAATTCATCCAACTACATTTTTCAGCTTTTAAGAATTAGTTATCAGGACAGCATCGACCTGTCCATTTAACCTAGGATGCTTCACAATAACATAAATAAATAAAAATCAAGAGAAACAATGCGTAAAACATGATTCAGGTATTCATCAAATACATATTTAAAGTCGGTGTATCTTAACGCTCAATACTTGGGTACGACATATAATCAGTTGGTTGCTAGTTTCATTGAGCATTTCTCAGTTATATCAGAGTACAAACACACCAAACTTCTTTTTTTTTTTTCTTTTTTTTTTCTAGACACTTCAAACTTGTAGTAACATATATATCGTTGTATAGCCTAAATGTGATTTTCTTTGAAAATTCGTTAAACAACATCTACCCATAAATAACTTGAAGAATTCCTATCCAAGGTTTCCAATGCAAGAAGAATATCAGAAAATCTAGTAGATAACTGACTGGATTTTCAACTCTTACTAGTCGCATTTTCCATTAAATTTTCAGGACATAAAAGAGAGAAAAAATATATGAATAACACTGTTCTAAAAATCGGCCTAGGCGGCCGCCTAGGCGGCGCCTAGGCGCTAGGCGGTGCCCGGGCGCCTCCGATTTGCACAAATCGGCAGAAAAAATCGGTCAGGCGGCTAGGCGGCGCCTAGGCGGGCCTAGGCGGCCCTAGGCGCTCCTAGGCGCCCTTGGCGGGCGCGGCGGCCAGGCGGTTAGGCGGCGCCTAGGCGGGAATAGGCGGACCTAGGCGCTCCTAGGCGGGCTCGACGGCAATTTTTCAGTTTTTTTTTTAATTTTTTTAAATTTTTTAAATATTAATTACATTATTTTATTCTCATGTTTTCTTTAAAATATATTAATTTTATTATTTGGACTTAGGTGTGTCAATTTATTATAAGTTGAGATAGTTTTATTTTGTAGGTAGTCAAACTAAATAAAAAATAAGGTATTTAATATTGATTTCTAGGCCCCGACTAGGCACCGCCTAGGCCCCGCCTAGGCGCTCTAGGCGCTAGGCGCTGGTCGCGGGCGCCTAGCGACTTTTAGAACACTGATGAATAATTGAAGTGAAGATGCCACAATTTTTTGTAGTAAAGGGGACCGAAATGGATTCTAACAATTGTAATACGCTAATATTTACTTTTATAGATAAAATGTGTATTATTGGGATATTCAATAATTAATAGAGAAGTGAAAATATAGTGCCGTATTGAGTTATATACATAGTTTTGCCATCTTTTTCCTTTGCCTTCTTTCTTTTCAGATAGAGTGAGTAAATCCTGTAAGTTGCATATTTCTTTCGCATGCCCAAGTGATGGATTCTCATTACTTTGATTGAACCATGTATTATTAACCAGTACAAGTCCTTTTAAAAAGTGAAAGATACCATTTGAGCTACACGATCGTGATAGTATTATATGGACAATACGTTCGTACTTAAATTCCCTTTCTCCCACCACTTATATTTTCTCAAGACTCATAGAGTGACATGAAGGCAACACCAGAATAAAAAAACAAAAATAAAAGAAGAAGAAAGAAAAAGAACTAACTTTTAAATCTAAAACATCACTTATATTTGGACAGATTAATTTGTGAAAGCCTGAAAGGAGGGGTTAATAAGCGGCAATATATAAGTCACATTTAGAAGAGAGTGAAAAGAACAGATTCGTTAACATAGACAAGTCTCATACGCCAGCTATCACATGAAAAAAGTAGCGTAAATAGGGAAAAAAAGGTGATTAGATTACTTACGTAATTACTGCAGGCAAGTCCAAGCAGAGTGTCTCAAGACCTCCATCAACCTCTCTGTCCACTGTCACTACATTATTTGCTTTATCCAGTACAACCTAACATCAGATATACGAAAAATTTGTCGTCAAAGTTCAATAATCACGAGAAATAGTATATAAGCGGCACAAATTGATATGAACCCCATGGAAGAAGGAAGAAGAGTTCCAGAAAAACTATCACAAACAATAATTCCCAGTATTCCTAACAGAAATACACCTTAAGAGTCAAGAATGTTATATTTGAATAGGGTTATGGAGAAAATTTAACCTTTAATTTGATTACAGTCAACTGTCATTCTCACTGTTTTAAAAGATCTACTCCATAGTAATGTTTGAACACGATGAAGATAACCTTGGATGCAAAGGTCCCTTGCGGCCATTTAAGAAGTCCAGCAATCATTTGTCCCGTCTGGTTGCAGTCATCATCAATAGCCTACAAAAATGTAGACATAAGATGATGTTTCGAGACTGAATTTCAAGCATAGGGAGAAGAGGATATGAACAAGTAAAAGAAATCGAACACAACATGCAAGTCTTGACAGTCAACCAAGCAAATAAATTACATCAAATAAGCATACTATATTATAATACGTGATTAAATGCCAACTTGACAAGATTCTGACTACATCATAGCTTCGCTATAATTGTTGTTGTGGAAACTAAATTCTTCATTGGGCTTCAGTTAAACTAAAGGATGCATTTGTATCTCATATGCAGCCAATAAATCAAAATGAATCCACAGACATAAAAATCCATAAGAATAACTCCTAATAGCATATATATGAAGTTATATTGTGGTTTAAAAGTTCATAATTTGAAGCTCTTGTCATCAGAAGTATAAATCTCGGAAACTTGTCTTCTGCAGCATCAAGTGATGACTTTCACTCATTAAACAACAAAAGCAACCACAAGATAATGATGCCTTATGATATAGGGCATACCATATGCAAGAATTACACTCACGGATGATCAAATTACACTATTCTCAAACCGAAGATCACCTTCATACTTGGGATTCCGAACCCATGATACAATTCAATTAATTATCCTGCTTTCTTTAACTGCTCAAACTGCCATTTCAAATTAGCATCCAATCATCTCTTAACGAACTTGAGAGTAGAACCACAACATGCACAACCTCAAGATGTTAAACAGCAAATATAAATCCAAAAGACACATACTACAAAGGGCAAAAACATAAGAAAGAATGGGAAAACAAGTCCAATCTTCAGCATTTTCCAGCTTGAGGTACGCATAAAACAGACAACATTTTCGCGAAACTCAATACAACTCAAATCATTCATACATACTTCCCCAAATTATATCTCAACGATAATGCAAAGATAATAATATCAAAGTTTGTTAAAGAAACATGTATATTTATATAGAAATGTTTTTTCCACCAAGAAAGGCAACATTGACAAGAACAAAGCTTTACCTGTTTCCCAAGAAGGACAAGGCCAGGTTTTTCAGCATCAACAAGAGCTTTGAGAATCTTGGCTATCGAAAGCGGGTAAAGGGTTCCGGGGAACTCCACGTGAATAGCCCGATCTGCGCCCATAGCCAGCCCGGTCCGGAGAGTGTCGACGCACTGGGCCGGGCCCACTGACACGGCCACCACCTCCGAGGCCCCGCCCGACTCCTTGATCCGGAGGGCCTCTTCTAGTGCGATCTCGCAAAAGGGGTTCATCGACATCTTCACATTGGAGATCTCCACGCCACTCTAGAACAAATCAAAACCACCTCAAAATTTAACGTTTTTGTTTTGTCAGGAAATTCTAATAATTTCATTTACTCGTTTGAGGTCCTGTTACCTTGTCGGGTTTAACCCGAATTTTGACGGCGTAGTCGATGACTCGTTTAACAGCTACCATAATCTTCATTTTTGCAGTGAGTAGAGGTATCTCTGAGATCCAGATGAAACTATCAATTTATGAGCGTTTTTGTTGATAATTTTGAAAAAATTCAGCCGATGTTTTGAAGATGCGACTTAAATTATAATATGTGGCATTAAATTATAATATATGGCATCCACATATTGGTGATGTTAATATATTAAAAAAAATACATCACAAATGTGTGTATGCCACATAAGCGGTTGACATATTAACATGTGTCCAGCGTGGGTAGTAGTGCATTACTCTATGGATAACAGCCCAAATTACTCTCTCTCCATATACTTTTTCTCTCTCCAAAAGTAAAAAACCCCAAATGGCATCTTTCTTTGCTTTCTTCGACGGGGCCGCCGGTCTCCTCAACTGTGGCCGGCTATTGGTTGTGTGGTTCGTCCTTGATTATGTGTCGGATCCCATCTTCATGAGCGGTGGTGGAGTCGGTCGATATCTCGAGTGGTCTTCAGCAAATTAGGGTTGTCATCCAAAGACGAAATTCGCCAGTTTCCATAGCGGCGAGACGGATGAGGGTTGTGGTGTTCTTTGGAGACGGGTTGTGTCTCCGATTACCGTGTTGGTGGTTGCAGCAGAGGTTGCCTACCCTTTCGCTCCTATTTTCCCTGGTGTTAGGGAAGAAGAGTCGGTCGTCGCGTCGTGCCTGGCCGTGGTGTGGCTCGGTTCGGGGTGGTGGTGGTGGTGTTTTGAGGGGTGGGGCTCTTCGTCTGACCTCCGACTGAGGGGTTGTGGTCGGCCGCCAGGGCGTGGGTCGTGATTTGGTGTTTCGATTCTGTTAGGCCGTGAATGGCAGTTTATGGTGTTGAAACATAGGTCGTGGTCCGACCAGTTGGAGGTCGATCGTTGTGTTGCTGTTGAGTTTTTGGCTGGTGTGTTAGTCCCGACCGTCAGAATGATTTTTGTTTTTTTGTGTTTTTGGGTTTGTGTTTTTGTGTTCTTATGTGGTTTTATGTGTTTTCCTTTTCTTTTGCTAGTTTTATTATCCTTTGGGATCATCCTTTGGGATCTAGATTCTTCTGTTGGGAGTTAGGTTTTATTATCTCTTTTGGGATCTAGATTCTCGTGTTCGGAGTTTGTTTTATTATTGTGGGTGCGTTGTAGTGTTTAGGCTCTCTCCATGGTGTCCTCTCATTAGATTCGGCTTCTAGCCGATCTATATTTGTAATATGTGTGTTAGTTATAAAATTCATATCGTTCCGTTAGAAAGGAAAAAAAAAAAAACAATGCGGATAAGGTAACTTTGGAGATATTAGGAAAATTAATTTTTAAATAACCTTTTATGCTCCAATTTCCACCAAATTCACCATATATTTTTCAATCACTCATATAATTATGGTTTTGACATAGAAAAATCTCTAATTTTTTTTGTTGATAAATTCATACCACATACCACCGATTTATGGCGCCTTAACTATTGTCCTCACGTCGACCACCACTAATTTCCAACGGCGGTAACCACCATCTTTGCGACAAACACCACCAATTTCAGAGTTCATTGGAATCCCGACCTCGCTTGTTGGACGACAGCCCCTCATTCATCCTAACTCAGCCCAATCTTTAGGCCGTTGAAATCCACCGTCTCCTAGTGTAGACTGTGTGGTTGGGCTAGAACTAGTGTTTGAGGTAGTGGTTGATCGCAATCCTGCACTTGATTGTGATGGATAATGTGAGCATCTCCATATGAGTAAATTATTGACGTTACATGACACTGACGCAGGATACTCTACTAACACTACTTCTAAAGAATCATTGATATAACTTTTCATCGCTCTAAGGTTCAAATTCATCACGGAGCTTCAAAACATACATGAATTAAAACACACAAACGTGCCACGATAGTTGGATTCAAAAATGTCTGCAAACAACACTTATTTTGTAATTTTAATCTACTATGTGTTGCGCACATACAATTAATTCACATATGTCATGCAAGCCCTAATTAGAATAGTGCACAAAGATGAATTAACCTAGGCTCTAATACAAGTTGTTGGGTCTTATGAGGAAATTCGTCCATGTGCACATTTGAATCAATTGAAAATAAATCACAACACTACATATTACCGCAAGGTCTCTCCTTCCCTCTACTGCATATTAATCAACAAGAGGTACGTCTTCTCATGCTTTCTAGCGCTTGCGAACTGATTTAGAAATAGAGAGCTAAACTTCTCAAAGCTACCGATAGATCCCGTTGGCAGCAGGTGGAACCAATCTTGCGCCGACCCCTTTAAGGTCGTAAAAAAGGCTCGGCAGCTCACAACATCACTATACCTGTGCAACACGGCTATGTTGTCGAACGACCTCAAATGCCTAGTTGGGTCTGCCGATCCATTGTAGAATAAATTCAACTCTCGGAAGTTGCTAAGAAAATCCCCTCCCAAGACGTCCTCTGCGAAAGGATGTCCTCATGAAACCACAGGTCTCTTACCCTGAACCCGAGCTTGGAGTTCCCGCAGCTGAGCCGCCAACCTCTCCAAAGTTAATCCATACAGCTGTGTTGTTGCAGCCGGGCGGGAGGTCACCGACCTGGTATAATCATCATCGTCTCTCTCCAAACGCTGGTGTTGCTGCTGATGCGAGGGGTTTACTGTTGAGGTGCGGGTGACTGCTGCGGTAGAAGTTGTTGAAACGATTCATTAGGAGCTCTCATATCCACCTCTTGAGCTCGGCCTATCACCTCAGTACTGATCCTATCCAACTCTGACTTGGTCATCTGAATAACTAGATCCCCCGTGGTGCTGAAGAAACATTATACCCATGAGGGTTTTGTCCTCTTGCGACGACCACCTGCTCGTTACCAGCCACGACCACATGCTTGTTACCCAAGGAACCATTCTGACTACAAGCACCCCCGGATCCCGAAACACCCTGTTTCACTCCCTCATCGAATGGAGTGCCTTCATCTTTCCTTTTGTCTACCAAACCACCCGATCCTCCTGGGTTCGCCGAGTGCCCCTGAGCTTCTGGTGTTGGTGTCAAGGTCAGGTTCGGGGCCAACAACGTCTCTTTGGGACTGACAGACAGCGGCGACCATCCCGGCGGGGGACCTGTCCCAAACGCCCGATGAGTCCACGCCACATCCATCTCCTTCGTCAGGTTCTTCTTCGAATTATCTCCTGCCATGATCCTCGTCGCTCTTCTTCTTCTTTAGTGAGAAAAAACAACCCTTGATACTCCGGTAGAAAAAAACTGAGTTCCCCACAGACGGCGCCAATTTGTTGTACCACAAATACTTGAACCGCTGGACCGCTCCTCTCAAACTGGGTTGTGTCTCCTTGATCGTCGGTACTTGCAAAGCACACCGGGGGTGGTCCCGACGAGAACACTCCGACACTCAAGTCAGTGATGGTCCAAGAAAAAACGGCAGAGTAACGAGATAGTTCGTATGTGTGGGTTGTGTAAATAAATGAACCTGTGCCCCTTTTATAGTTGGGGCAGCTGAGGACTCCTGGTAGGACAAGAAGTCTTCCTTGTATGTACCACTTAGTTAGGTCAAAAGATTCCTTGAGGTTGTGAACCTCTTCATGACTTGAGCACAAGACTATCTCTGGGCTCTGGTCCCCTCGACATGGTCCTCTGGCCGAGGTGCCCAGCTGCTTAGACGACCACCTCTGTCTAGCTCATCACTCTTAGTGTTTCGCCTAGCTCACATTGAGCTAGGCTCCGCCTAGCACTCATATGCTCTAGAGGTACCATGAACCACGCCTAGCTGGTTGGAGTACACCTATCTAGTCCCGCCAATATAATAGTGACGACCGGATCATGACCGGTCCTTCATGAACCGCTATTTACGACCACATCAGAGGGAATGAATATTGAATTAAAGTTGATGTGATGTGTAAAGATGGTCGATTGATATTATTTAATTATATTAAAATTATTGAGGAATGTTTAATTGAGTTAAATTTGAAATATATTTGAAGTTAAAAATTTATCTAGTGACCTTTGATGAGATAATATGTATCTAATTAGGCAAATTTTGCTATGAAGTCAACCGTTGGCTCCATTGTAGAGCCAACCTTCTATATACAACAAGTAAATCATATCATATTCTCTGATTACTTAAATAACATTAACAATTTTATTAATATGGTATGGTTTACTTGCTATATATAGAAGGTTGACTTCATAGCACAACCGTTCAACTAGGACCTAAGTATCACTTTTGTGGTACTTGTGCCTTCCTAATTAAAAAAATATGACTAGTTTTATTATTATTTTTAAATTGATTAGCCTAGTTGTTAGATTGTCGGCAGTCTAAATGTTTTAAGTATTAGAGCATCTCCAGTGCTGCGCTACTCTAGCGTATTTACACTAGAGTAGAGACAAAATTGCTCTTCAACGCTGCACTACATCTCTTCACTACTCTAGAGTTATGAACAGTATTGCGCTACATCTGGCGCGGTACTATTCATTACTCTACAATTTTTATTTGTTTTCTATTTTTTTTATTATATGCAATTGATTTATCTTAAAATTCACTATTTGAAAAAGTTTTTACCGTTAAATTTATAATTTTATTTGAGAATTATATAAAAAAATATTATTAAAAAATATATTTTTATATTGAATTACTATAAAATAAATCAAATATTATATAAAAATAACAATTCTTTGTGGAACAATATTTAAACCAGTGGAAGACCAACTAATATTATGATATATTTTATTTTATAAAAGAATATGTCCAATTAAATAATATTTTGACATATTAAATAAATTAAAATAATATGAATAATATATGTGAATTAGAATGTAGCACGAACGGATAGAACCAAATTTTTTTTTCGTTAACTCTATTCTAGAATAGAGTAAATTCTGCACTAGAGTAGAGATAAAGACTGGAGATGGTCTTATAACTGAAAAATGTGAAACAAGAAAATCTATTACCCATCAGTTAGTTAATTTTGTAAGTAAACTAATTTATAAAATCAATAAATATCACTGCATATAAAATATACGGCAAATGCAAGATGAAT